GAAGAGGAAGAGGAAGAGGAAGAGGAAGAGGAAGAGGAGGAGGAAGAGGAGGAGGAAGAGGAGGAGGAAGAAGAAGATGATGATGATTTGGAAAAGAGACCAGGGGCAACTTCCCCTGCCCCAGACAAGTGGCCTCCCAGAAAACCACGCTGCTTCTCTAGGGATTCAGGAAAATCTGAGACTCTGAGCTGCCTCTGGCCCTGGAGCCTGACAAGGCAGTTCACAGCCAGTGGCGTTGCTTGGGATGGCTTCAGGGCTCATGCCACATGGTCCTGGGCCACCCCAGCCTGTGACTGCCCTGCTACGGCTCAAGCCCCATGTCTGCACTTGGGCAGCTGGGCTGCGATCCACAGCTGCTCCGCTCCCACATCCACACTCCCAGTTCCAGCAACCCAAGAAGAAGTCCCGAGGGGACACACCACCCTACCTGCCTGCCCCATCTCTCCTACACCTGCATCCAGAGCTGGGCAGCTGTGGGTGGCCTGAGACCAAGAGAGCAGCTTGAAGCCCTGGCAGCTGGGCCGTGCCCAGCTCCTTTGCTATGCAGAGCCTCAGTTTCCCCTTCTGTGCAGCGAGGAGAGTGTGGAAGCAGGGCTCTGCTTCTGCCTTGCTCACCCAAGTGCCCAGGTCTGGGCAGTGCCCAGAACATCGGTGGTGTCCTTGCAGGTTCCAAACCCCTGGCTCTGGATGGACCACACAGGAGCCCAGGGGAAACACACTCTGGAGCCTTCCCAGATGCCAAGAGGAATCTCAGGGCACTGCATTTGTGAGAGCTCCCTCAGAGTTGGGGTGCCTTTGAATTCAAGAGGGTAGATACTTTTGGGGTAGTTAGTATGGGGATTGAACCCAGGGCCTTTGCACTAGGATGCATCCTCAGCTCTTTTTAAAATTTGAGACAGGGTCTCACTAAATTGCCAAGTTGCCCAGGTCAGGTTCAAACTTGGCAATCCTCCTGCCTAGGCCTCCGGGAGAGCTGGGATTGCGGATGTGCACCACAGCGCCCTCCCAAGGCCCGGGTCATCACGGAAGCTCTCCCCGTCCCTGAGGTCTTGGGAAAGAAGCACGCCCAAGTCGGGGAAATGGCCTTGATGACCTTTGGAGGTCCCTCCTGGCCACCAAAGCCAGAAGGTTCCGCATTTACGTGGATGACGCCTGCCTGGTGGTGGGCGGGGGTGGGAAAGGCATCAAGGTCCAGCAGGAGTGACTCAGGCCCTCGGCACCATGACAGAGCTTCTGCATTTAGCCACTGGCTCCCGTTCCCTGGCTGTGCCGAGCTCCCGGCCCCCCTGAGGCCCCCACCACTCTGCCCCTCACCTCTGCGTTATCACTTCCCGCCAGCCCTACCAGTAGCACCCCTGGCCAGGACTCTGGGACACTGGGAGTGACAGACCCCTCCTGCTCCACACCCTGGCCCCCACCGTGCCCTGCCCTTCCCCTCTTATAGCACGGGGGCACCTGTGACAGCCCTGCAGGGAGCCCACAGGACAGAGCTCCAGACTGGGGCTTGTGGGAGCCAGAGAAAAGGGGGCAGCCTTCCTAACAGGGGGAGCCAAGACCCCTAAGTGTTCTTCACAAACAGTGCCTGGGGAGCAGTGCAGCTGCAGAGGGGACAGAGGACGTCGCAGGGGAGCCTCCAAACAGGGACCAGCCACTGGGGCAGTGCATGTCTGCGATCCCATGAGGCAGGATGGCAAATTGGAGCAGAGCCTGAGCAGTTGAGGGACTTAGTGAGACCTTGTCTCAAAACAAGAGTGAAACAAAAGGGCTGGGATGTGGCTCAGTGTGAGGGTCCTGGGTCTAATTCCTAGTCACACACACACACACACACAAAGACCACTGCCAGGTGCTGGGCATAGGCAAGGGCTCTGCTATGATACCTGGATAGCTGGGTGACTAAGCAAATGCTGGGAAGGGAGGGAGCTGGGGTCCTGCTGCTCTGAGGAGGGAGGGCAGGATTTGGTAGGAGAACCCAAATTGTGACCTGAACAGACAGCCAGCCACCTCCCAGCTCTGTCTCATCACTCCTTGGGGTTTTCTGTCTCTGAAGGTATATCAAAGATGGGTCTGGGTTCGAATCCCAGCTTTATCTCTTGCAAAAAGCCTAGCCCCTCTCTTTAGGTGTCCTTTGTTTTCCTGTCTGTACAATGGACATAATGTCTCACTGTGAGTGGGGGTGGGAAGAGTTGAGGACTATTCTGCAAAGGGGAGCCTGTGTCCAGAGTCACCCTGAAGCCAGAGATAGGGTCCCCGTCTCAGTCTGAGGTCAGATAGATAGTTGCTGGAAAGTTGACTGCCTAGATCTTTAAGGCCAGTGACCTATGTTTTTGAGCCCAGCTCCAGCCCGGCCTCAGATGTCAGCTCACCTCCCCAGGCCCCTAAACGTCCCAAGAGCAGTAGAGTCCAGGTCCCTGAAGGAGCTGGCAGGGGCAGAGCAGCACATTCCCCCCACAGGGGTGTCCCCAGCTCCTGACACCCCATAAGGTGGTTCTGTACCCTTCCTGTCCTCAAGGAGTTTACAGTCTGCTGGCCTGAAGGGAGAGAGGCACCATCCCAAGCGAGCACCCAAACTGATGGGGTGACACCAAACCTACAAAGTCTGGGGTCAGAAGTGGGCCCCGGGTGGCAGTGGGACAGGCTCCAGTGCCCTGCTCCTACCCTGTGGAGTGTGGAGGCCCTGGGGCCAGAGCCACGGCCCTGGAATGCCAGGCGGTGAGCTCAACCCTCCGCCTGCCTGCGTGAGGCTGTCAGCAGCGTGGTGCTTGGAGAAGATTTCCAGCCCCCTCTGGACCTAAAGAGGCCTAAATTTAGCGCGTAGACAAGGGGCTGGCCCCACGCCCAGGGACAGTCGGCCCTTATAAAGCGCGGGCGGCCGCGGCCCAGCACGCTCAGTGAGCCCCGCACCCACGCCTTCTCCTGCCAGCCTCTGCCCGCTCAGGGCCCAGCGCTGCCCGTGCATGAGCCACCGGACCTCCTCCTCCTTCAGAGCGGAGCGAAGCTTCCATTCCTCCTCTTCCTCCTCGTCCTCATCCTCGTCCTCCTCCTCCGCTGCCTCCCGTGCCCTCCAGCCTCAGGAGCCGCCCATGGAGAAGGCCCTGAGCTTGTTTTCGGATGACTTCGGTAGCTTCATGAGGCCTCACTCAGAGCCCCTAGCCTTCCCAGGCGAGTGAGGGGCTCCAGGGGCAGGGGCCATGCGGAGGTTGGGGACACCACTCCAAGGTGCTGTGGCTGCCACCGCCAGGAACAGGTGCTATGCAGCCTGCAGCCAGCTGTGGCCACCCTGACAGATGTGGCCACTAAAACAGATGTGGCTGTGCAAACAGCTGGGCTCCAGGGTGTCCCCCGCAGGTCCTATAACTTGCTGGAGCCTTAGAGGACTGGCAGGAACTGAGGGGATTAGGGCTGCCACAGGCTGATGTCCCCAGGGTGCGTGGGGCCACCAGGGCAGGCTCCAGGAGGAGGTGGCAGTGGGGACCAGGAGCAACACTGCCTGGCAGTGCTGCCCCTTCCCCTAGCCAGGGACACAGACCCAGGTGGCCCTGCCCAGCTAACATCGCCATTCCCACAGCTCGCCCCGGGGGACCCGGCAACATCAAGACCCTCGGAGATGCCTACGAGTTTGCAGTGGATGTCAGGGACTTCTCCCCTGAGGACATCATCGTCACAACCTCCAACAATCACATCGAAGTTCGGGCTGAGAAGGTGAGCCTGGCCCAGCACCTGGCCCCCAGGCAAGCTGAGGACCAGGGCCCCTGTAGCTCAGGGACCCCCTTGTGCCTCTCTCCACCCTGGGGTGTCCAGATGTGTAGCACAGGAGCCCCCCAACAGCTGAGGAGCCTTCGGGGGTAGTGGGAGAGAGGTGTGAGGGGTTGACACAGTGTGGGGGCCAGGGAGTGGGGGACAGTGGTGGAGTGAGGCCAGATCCCCTAGCAGGGGCTGAAGGGCAGCTGGGGAGGTGGATGGCTGTCCCCACATACTACCCCTCCAGACCTCTTCCACCGGGAACCAGAATCCCAGACCCCCAAGTTGTAGCCTAGGTTGGGCAGAAGACTTGAAACTCAGGGTCCCACACCCTCCAAGTGACACATCCTCTACCCACAGATCTCAGAGCCACTGGGTCACTGAGCCTGAGCCCCAGGAGGCCTGGTGGGCTCCTCACGGACAAAGGTTGTGCCCAGGCTGTCAGGAAAGCCAGTCTGGGCTGAGAACAGATGTGACCAAGGCTTCCTGCTCCGCCCCTGAGTGTGTGAGGCTGGAATGGGAGCCCCTGCCAGCAGAGTGAGGATGGGGCCAGAGGCAGCACGTGCCGCCCTGCACCCCGACTGTGACTCAGCTTTCGCAGACTCCTCTGGACACTATGTGCTGGCAGAGCTGTGGGGGCAGGGTGGGGCAGCCTGACCGGAGGCAGACCCGCAGGTGCCTGGGGTCTAAGAGCAGGGCGCTGTCAGCACTCAGGGCCTGGCTGTGAGGGGGTCAACCTGGGGACAGCCTGCCCTGACCCATCACCTCCCCCGCAGCTGGCGGCTGATGGCACTGTCATGAACACCTTTGCACACAAGTGCCAGCTGCCGGAGGACGTGGACCCAACCTCGGTGACCTCGGCCCTGCGGGAGGACGGCAGCCTCACCATCCGGGCACGGCGTCACCCACACACGGAGCACGTCCAGCAGACCTTCCGGACGGAGATCAAAATCTGAGGCCCTCAGCTGCTCCCTGCGCGCTCTCTCTCCTCCCCACCGGCCTCCCTGGAGCCTGCTGAGCCCTGGATGATGCCCCCCCAGGATATCTGAGCTCAGCTCCCAGAGCACCTAAGCCCCAGGCGGGCATCACCCCCAAACTAAGGTCCTCTGCTCTACATAGGGCAAGCTGGCAACCCCCTTGCCTTACTGTGGCCCCCAGAGTCCAGATATCTGTCAATTACACATTGGGGCTGGGTAGGACAGCAAGGTCCTAAATACCTACTTTTTTTTTTTTTTTTTTTTTTTGGTTATTATGAGACAGGGTCTCGCTATGCAGTTCAGGCTGGCCTTGAGCTCACTTTGCAGCCCAGGCTGGTCTCGAACTTACAACCATTCTCCTGCCTCAGCCTCCCAAGTGCTGGGATTACAGGCCTGCATCTCCATGTCCAACTTAAAGACCCACTTTGAAGAAGAGGGTGGGGATAGGTCACGACTCTGGACAAAAGATTTGCAGGACAGACAGATGGATACACTTCTCAGTGGTGGGAGAACTGGGGACTGGGGGTTCCTGGGTGAAGCAGGGCAGCTCATACTGAAGGAAGGACACAGGCAAAGTGCCCATCCAGGTGGGACTCCCTGAGGGCCTAGGATCACACAGCCGAGATGGCACCTCCCCAGGCCACCCCCCTGCAGCCCAGCCAGCCAGCTGTGCCAGGACAGGGTGTGTCTGCCTGCATAGATGGGAGTTTTCCAATACAGCTGGTTCGTGACAAACCGGGTGAAATGCTGCTGTCCTCTCCCTCCTTGGTGCCTGCAGGTGTTCAGGACCTGTCCACCCCCACCTCAGACCTGGGCTCCAGGGCCACTCCCCCTGCAGCCAGGGTCCCCTACAGCAGTCGCCCCACCCCTTGGGTGCACCCACCCTTCCCCCGTCTTCTATCTGCCTATCTAGGGACTGTGTGGGACCCATACCCCATGCCCCATTGTCCTTCGAATCCTCAGCATCAACATTGAGTGAGGCCAAATCAGAGCACCCTAAAAGAGGGCTCAGCCCCTCAACTTTTATCCATAGGGAAACTGAGGCTCTAGTGAGCCCTTAGACACTGGCCTTGGTTGCTGGAGGGTAGATGGAAACCCCGGATGTTTGTGGGCCTCCCCATGTCTGAGGCCAAGGGGCGTCCTCTCGCTTTGTCCCCCTGGGGCTCCATGTCCTGGCCCACATTGTCCTGTTGGATGGAGGGTCACAGAAAGAGCGCCAAACCCAGTTCCCTTCTGGTCACCATCCCGTGATTCAGTCTTCCAAAGCAGGGGGGAGGGGAGAGGGTGGTTCACAGTCATTGGGGGGTGGGGTCAAATCTGTCCCTGCCCCGTGGCTAGGTTCCATGGCAGAGGGCCTCTGAGCCCTCTCATTGTGGGGCACTTGGGGAGGGTGGGAAGGGTGGCGGGAGAGTCGGGGGCTGTAACCTATACACACAATAAACGACGATGTCACGGATCTCTGGAGGTCCCCTACCTGCAGTTCCCAAGCCCGGGATGGCGGCAGCTGGGCTGCGGAACCCAAAAGCTAAGGTGAAGCTGCAGCCCTCAGGAATGTGGGTGTTCCTGGGCAGCCCTCTGCTCCCCTGGCCCACCTGGGGGAGTCCCGGGACTGTCTCCGTGGGACACCTTCAGGCACCCCGCTCCCTAGCTGCCTGTCCTTTCTTTCATTCCTTCTTTCACTCCAGAGATATTGATAGTCCTGAGTTTGTACCGAGCACTGCACCAGCACCTCCCAGGTGAAGGGACACGAAGAGAGTGCCCTTCCTCTACCCGACCGGGCTTCTGAGACCCTGAGAGGCTGAGTGGCTGGCCTAAGGTCACGCAGCTGGGACGGGGAGCTCTGGCGTGCCCTCACCCCACCCCCAGGCCCCAGGGAGCTCCAGGACGGAGGCCTCTGCATGTCGCCAGCCAGCGGCTGCGGTCAGGAGCAGGGCAGAGCAGCGCGGTATTTCCAGCCTCCTGACTCACGGATTCCGAGGCTATTTGCAGCCGGACGCTCACAGCCGGCTGCGTGGAGGGAAGAGGCCGACGAGCTCCCCTCTCCCTGCCCCCAGCCAAGATCAGGGTCACCTTGACGCCCAGCCCGCGAGGTCCCGCCCTCGGCCAGGGGTGCGGGGTGGGGGGCGCTACCAAGATCCACAGGGCTGGACCACCCCCTCCAGGTCCCGTCCCACCGCATCCCTGTGCACCCGGCCTGTGCGAGCCCCGCCCCGGCCAAGGTGACCCCACGCTTTGTGTCTCGGTGCCCCCCCCCCAGGCTAAATATAGGCTTGGCTGAGCCCAGCAGGCTGAGAGTGACCAAGCCTCCATTCATCCCGCCCAGGCTGGCCACGCCCCAGTGTGGGGCGGCTCTGTTACCTTGGCGGCGGCAGCAAGGAGGACAGCGGCTCAGAGAGGCCAAGTAACTCGTTCAAGTTCACCCAGCTTGGAAGCGAGGTGGCTGGGATTTGAACCTTTGCCTGTGGCTCTGAGAGGCCTCGGTTGGGTCCTCCCAGATCAATCTCCCCTAACCCTCCCTGTAAGCCCCAAGAGTTCCTTCGCTCACTCCCTCCCAGCAGGACAAGGGACTCCTGGTCTCATAATTTTGAAAAGGGCCTGAAAAGACAAAGCCAATAAGGTTCTCTCACATTTAAAGGCTGGGTTCAGGTCAAAGGGCCCCTCCTCCAGAAAGCCTTCTGGAGCTCCCAGCAGTCAAGCCAGTGATGCCCCCTCCCCCAATCCTGCCTTCAAAAGCACCCCAAAGGCAGATAAGGGGGGGGGCACAGGCCTGGGACCCAGCCCTCAAAGAGCCTATCCCAGTGCCTCATGCTAGGATGCAGGGACCCAGGCCCAGAGAGGGCAAGGGCCTAGCCCAGGGTCACACAGCAAGTTAGTGGCAGAGATGACAAGAAGGTCTCAGAAGTCCCCAGACCCACACCCAACCTCCACAGTGCTCCCAATTCTGGTTCTTGTATCTGGTGCCTTATTCTGCCCCAGGTGCTTCAAAGCCTAGCACTGGAAAAGGAGCTGAATATAAGCTTGTAGGATTGAAACAGCCGGATGGGCCGGTGGCTGTCAAGGGGACCACAGACCGTCAGGGGAGTGATCTTAACTGCTGCTTCTGAGCCCTTCGATCCCAGGCCCTTTGGGCCACACATAGGACCACCCTGCACATGCCCCTGGTCCACCCTGCACATGCACCACCGTGTGGTGCCAGCTGCGAGCCAGGCCTTGGATCTTCACCTGGGAGCCGGTTGTAGTGGAGGTTGGGGGGGGTGGAGCTGAGCCCTGGGCACACAGGAGGTCTGGGGCTGCCATCCTGGCAGAGAGGTGTGCAGGACAAAGGCCATGAACACTGAGTTCTGGTGGGCACCATCCTGATAATTTTCTGTGCCAGGAAGATAGAGCCGCTTCCTCTGGAAGCCCAGCCAGAGAAGGCTCTTGGCTCTGTGTGGGGTGGGTGGGTCGTCCTGGGTAGAGGGGTGGTGTTTACAGTCAGCACAGCTGGGTGGCCTGGCCTGGAGCATCCTGGGAGCAGTCCTCCTCCTCCTCTTCCTCCTCTTCCTCCTGGTGGCTGCAGGCACCAACCTCTCTGCCATGGTCCTCATGCCATCGGGAGAGAGCAGCCACCACTTGCCTGGGTCTCCCCCAGGTCCCATGGCACTCACACAGGGCGTGCCCCCTCCTGCACCTGTGCTCTCCCTGTCCCACCCCAGGGAGCCCCCCATGTCCTGTACCTGCCAACCTCAGGAAGGGCTCAGCATCCTTCACCTGCTGTCCAGGGTAGCCCCACTCCTGCGGTCAACTTTGGACTCTATCTCTTTGCAGTTAGAGACCTTGGGGCAGAGTGTTTAGCTGTTCTGTGCCTCATTTTCCTCATCTGTAAGATGGGAGTGAAAATCGTACCCACCCACAGAGACCAGAGTGCACTGATGTGGCAGGGCATGCATATAAAATCTGCCAACAGGGTGTGGTGGCACACACCGCTAATCCTAGAAACCTAGGAGGCTGAGGCAGGAAGATCATATGCTCAAGCCCATCTTGGGTAACTTAGCAAGACTCTGCTTGGGTCTGCGGCTGTAACTCAGTGGTAGAGTGCTGATCTAGGATGTGTAAAGTCTTCAAGTTCAATCTCCAGCACTGGGGGAGGAATTTAGGCAGTAGAGAGCACTCCTGATGTCTCTCCTGATGTCTCTCAGAGTCCTTACTGAGACCTCACAGTAAATCCAGAAATGTCACTATGACTGGCATAAGCACTCTCTGTGCAGGGTATGAATGACGGTTGGGTAGTGGTCCCAGATTCTCCCTGCCCAGGTGCGGACCCAGCGTCCTCCAGGCTGGCGATAGGGCGACACCTGCTGGTGGAATCCTAGATGTGCAGCCGTGGCTTCCCTTTCCTCGAGGGTTTCCACTCCCTTGTCTCTGGCTCTTCTAAAGCTGCTTTTTCTGGGTGAACAGAGGGCAGGGGGCGTTGTCAGCCTTCCGGATGGACATGCGCTGCCGGGATTATATAGTATCTCGTCGAGTCCAAGCCTTTGCTTCCTCTGTTTAAGCTGACAGCCTCCTAGACCTCTCCTGCACCTATCCACCTTTTTTTTTTTTTTCCTTGGCTGAACCAGGGATTGAACTCAGATGCTTGTGCTTGCCAGGGAAGCGCTTATTCTACTGAGCCATCTCCCTGGCCCCATCTTTCCACATTCTATAGGCAGCAGGACAGAGGAAGAGTGACTCTGCTCAGAGGTGGGCCAGGCCTGGACATTCTGGGCTCACCTCTGGCTGTCCCACCTCAAAGCAAAATCAGAAAGCTGTGTCCCACGCCTATACTCTGATGATTCTGGGAGGCTGAGGTAGGATTACAAGGTGGAGCCTAGCCTGGTGCAAGCTGGCCTCAAAATAAGAAAAGAGGCTGGAGATGTAGATTGCAAAAACTCTGGGTTCAGTCTCATTACTGCAAAAATAAATAAAATAAACCCTCAGCATGCCTGTCAGGACTTGCATGATGTGGCCTCTGCCACCTTTCTGATTTCTTCGTGTGCATCTGTGTACAGCCATCCTTCCTAGTGAGGCCCTGTTCGTCTCATTCACTGACCCAGCCAGGCTGTGGGCGCCTGATGAACACTCAAGGAAGGGATGGATGAAATCTCTGGCCAGACCTGGGTGATCCCTGCTCCTTCCGGCACCCTAGCCGCTTCCTTTCGTGCAGCTCCATGGCCGGGTCGCTACCTGTGGAAGCCCAATCTCTCCCTGGAGCTGGCTGGGAGCCTCCCCTGCGCCCCCCATCTCTGTGCCCCTCTAGCCGTCCCATTTATAGCAAATAAGTCACCCAGGGTGTGAGTTTGAGGCTAGGGATGTGTCCGTTCTCTCAGGAGCCCTCTGCCCAGAAGGGGTGCTGCCAGGACAGGAGGCTGTATGCCCCACAGTGGGACCAAGAACGTGGGCCCCTGGCTCACCTGGCTTCTAACCTCACGGCAGGCTGTGGGGACTTGGGTAGTACTCGCCACAACCTCTCTGCGCCTGGGCACCTGAACTGTGAAGTGGGTGCGTGAGCAGTCCTTCCCCACACAGACACCGAGGGCGCTGTTTCCCTGGCAGAGTCCGCAGAGGTGGGGACCAGTGCTGCTCGGACCTGGTAAATAGCCCCCGAACAGGCAGTGAACTCCCAGCAGCTGTGTCTGCCGGCTTTGAGAAGACGGAGGCATTCGCCCAGGGCTTTGCACCTCTTTAGACTCATACGCCCACACCAGTGACCCCGCTCCTGCTCCAGGGCATGACTGTCCTTTTGGCTGGCACTCAAACACCCCTTTTTCCCATTCACTGATCCACCCAGGAGGCATCATGAGCCTGGTGTGCAGTAATAAGAAAGAATCTCTTCACTTGAATATCGCTGAATATCTTTTTTTTTTTTTTTCCAGAACCGGGGATTGAACTCAGGTCCTTATGTTTGCCAGGCAAGCACTTATTCCACTGAGCCCATCTCCCTGGCCTCTCTTCTTTTTTAGT